CTGAAGGATCTCGACGCCGGTTGGGGTCCGAAGGGTCAGTGCGGCGCCGGTTAGGGTCTGCCGGATCGCGGCGCCTGTTGGGGTCTGAAGGGTCTCGGCGCCGGTTTGGATCTTCCACATCCTCGTTCACCTCAGTGCCAGTGCAGCGCCGGTATTCGCTGGTTTGGGGTCTGGAGGCTCACACTGCTGTTGAATGGGGTCTGAAGACAAAATCCTTGCAACAGCTTGCAATCAAACATGCACCCCGTCCTGAGGCGCATCTCGGACATAACCCGCCATCTCGCGAGCCATCTCAAGGACATCCAAATCAATGCGGGCATTGCTTGCCACGTTCGACCTCGGCAACCCAGACAGCAGAGTGAAGAACAACGCGCGCAAGAAATTGTAGTTTCCATAGGTCAGGGGCAAGACACCACAACATATTCATCCTTGTGATAGGGACTCCCAAAACGCGGCGACCCCAAAACACCCACAAAGCAATTACAGATTACAGCATATTGCAGCAATGCTTGGAAGTGACGTTGGCTCGTACCCTCTGATACGGTATTGCGCCGCTACAGGCAAGAGCAGTAGAGTCCACACGGCAAGTGTGAGACGCGTCATGCTGCGGAGTTGTAGCACCTTCTGCGATTGAGCCAAAGAGCTGCTGGCAAAAAAAATGCACTAATGTCGTCCTACATCCTTCCGGCGATCATCCATCTCGTGCAGTTACGCAGAACTCGCAGCGGCTCTTGATTCTGTCACGATCTGGCAACGGATTTATGCAACTATAGGCTTTGCAGCAGACCGTGGCATGGGATGCTCAAGCTGGATGAGCTGGGATATGCGGAGATACCTTATCATGAGGACCCCCCCAACAAAAAGGCACCACCTGTCTTAGAGAAGCCCCCAACCCAAAACCCTGCTCATGGCATGCGACCAAGACTTCGAGAACCTCCGTTTACACGAGCACTCGAAGATTATTGTCTCTTTGTCCTGCTGAAAAAAGAAAGAACACAATGATAACCATAACTGATAAACATAACACTTAGCAGTGACAATGAGAGTTATAACAACAATATAAGAATAACGGCCTCTGAAAATCTCTTCCTTGGCTTCTGGGCTCCCGTTGATTGAAGAAGCATCACACCTCGCATCTTTTGGCAAAAAGGGGGTCTTCATCTTTCCACCTTGCATGTGGCACATGACATGGGTGCAGGGTTTAGGGCTCTAGGGTTTAGGCATGGAGTTAAACCCATGCGCCCTAAATTAGGGTAGATGCAGCCCAATCCGGCCCCTCCATGTACGTATGTGCTTCAACCTGTAGTCCTAAATCCTACAAGCCTACTGCAACCCCTATAGTCCCCCTCAAATAGATAGAATATTGAAGATGGGGTATATGGAGATCTTATTATAATATACCCAAAGCCATATTCTATTTACTTAAGGGGGACTATAACCCCAAACCCTTTGAAGGAGGCGACCATTCTTGGCATTGCTGGCCGTCCTCGAAGGTTGGAAGTACGGGCGCTCAATCATGGGGCCCTTCTATACCCATTCTAGGTACCTTATGGGGGTTTCCTTAAATTACGGGTACCTCCATAATCAGGATTATACTATATTGGGGTCTATATTGGGGCGCCCCTATTTAGGGAAACTGCCATATTAACCGTTACAAACCGAAGGCGCCACCGCTGAACTGACAAACGGCTTCAGTCAGTTCTTCGCCCTTGCGGAGGAAAAACCTTTTGCCTTTATTGAAGTGGCTGGTACCTTTCATAAACAAGGGGACCCCAATGTAACCCCAAAATGCTATAGTCTTCAGAATTGGGATGCCCCAAAAAAATTAGAAACCCCAAACTTGCAGACCATTATCCCTAAACCCTAAACCGCGCAAAGCCTTGCACTGCGCCTATGATGCTAGATGGCATTTGGAAAGACTTACTTCAACCCTCTATCAGCTCAACCAACAACGCTGGCCCTAGGCTTAGGGTTTTGGGGTTTAGGGTTTGGGGGCTAGGTTCAGGGATTAGGGTTTATGATTTAGGATTTAGGGCTTAAGCATCTCAAGGGAAATCCGCCGACCTCTGAAGGCGTGTTGGATGGCTTCAGGAGACGGAGAGGGTGAAAACCATCTTTTTTCTTTGTGGGGGGGAGGAGCGGGTGTCCCGGCTGCATAAGTAGATAGAATATGGCTTTGGGTATATTACAATAAGATCCTCATATACCCCATATTCTATCTCCTGTATAAGCCATTTTCATAATTTCCATTTTCTTTTCCATTATCCCTATATAAACCCAATAATATACACCATATTCTATCTACTTTAGCGGGGCTTTATGCTCAACAGGGGATGCTAAGACCGGTGTGGCGTGCATTGCCGAGGCCAAACCCTACAAACTGCGCGTGTTGCATGGTTTTGCGGTGTGCGTTTGCCCATGCTTGCAGCACTTTGCGGCTCCTAAGCTAGGATTTTGCGCCACTTTTGCTTATCCAATGCGTGAAATGTGGCTGCTGATTTGCAAAAAAAAAGAGAGCATTTGTGGGCTAAAACATGGGCAGTCTGCACAGGGAACCATGTTACAAGCCAGTTGTGATGGTTTTTCATGGGTTTGGACCCCTCCTGGCCTCCTGGTCCCAATTAAGCCAAAATGGGGTCCCAAATTGTGCTGATGATGTTCCTGCCTCGTACAGGAACATCATCAGCACAATTAGGACCCCATTTTGGCTCGTTTTGACGTAAAGTAGAGGGAACCAAACCTTCCAAACCCAAAAACATCCCAGGTCACAAGAAATCAGTTTTTCATGCATGTCTCCCGATCAGGAACATCAGCAGGGCCGGGGTGGGCTTCGTTTTAAAATGATGGCTGGGATTTGGAAGGGGGACGGCCAGGCCGGCCTGTGCCGCCAGGCCGAAATTACCGTTGGCAGTGTCGTCCTCACTTGGGTCATCCCCCTCCCAGTGACTGTCCCTAAAGGGGTCTTGTCCAGCGTCTGTCATAACTCTTACTGCAGACTCTGGTGTTGTTACTGTAAACCTGTAGTTACCTTAGACCTACAATACAAATAATACGTTTACCAATGTCATACAATTATACTATAATAGAATTCAAAATTATTCCTGAGGAGCCTACAGAAACGGGGAAATGTCCCAAGACCTCACGCTTCTCGGGCTTTCCTTTTTTGGGTCTGCATTCTTGCATCTTGGACTCACACCAGCGTTGACCGCAGCGCCTTTGCAAGCCTTACTTCTGCTTCCCCATGTTCCCTGAGTAACCCTTTCCTATATACTTCCTGAAGACCTGCAATATACATGGCCTAATGCAAGACCAATGCCCGGAGCGCTGCAAACATGGGCACAATCTCACATAACATTGCAAGGAAGTTGCATGTCTTTCACTTGTTGCACGCCGCCGGCAACCTTTTCACCTGCAGGATATGAAGCCAAAAAAACAGAAGCGGGCAAACGTATTGAGCTACAGCCTAAACTCCTAGTATCCCCCGTATTCACGCCCATAATAGCCCTCTGTAAACTCCCTTTTCCCCGCCTTTAAGGAGTTTAGAGTACAACTCTCTCGGTTTCAGTGCAGGCCTTGGATAGTAATGTCGCTGTGCCATCGACTGAGCTCGTCTGGGGAGATTCGCCCATCGTGGTTCCTCAGATGCCGCTGAAATGCAGGCCGTCTGTGTTGGAACATTGGAGACATGGGTCTTCTTAGCAGACAAGCCGCACATCAAGCATGTTGAACGTATCTTGCTGCTTCATGTTGTGCTGCTTCCAAGACTTGAGCTCGTCTGGACCTTGGCCGCAGAGCATGGAGTGCAAGCACCATCTTAGTTTGTAGGAGTTGTCCTCTGAAGCTTAGCCTGGCCAAGCTCCTCACTGATTTTGTTGTCATGATCAAGATCCAAGTCCCAGCATCAACAGCTTGAACGAATTGGCCGCTGGCAATGCTGCGTAGGCATCGGGCGCATCAAACTCGTCAAGCGCTGCATCTGTAGCACCAGACAAACCTAAGTGCAAGCTGAAAGACGATGCCGCCACGTGAAACTACGAAGCCCGCCGTACAAATCAGCTATAATCTAAACTCCTAGTACCCCCTTTCATATCCCCCAAAATACTCCTGTATATAACCCCCTGTAAGGAGTTGAGACTACAGCTCGCATGCTATGGTGCTGAGAGGCTCAAAGCAGATACTTTCTTCGGTGTCACCACCTCCGCGAACTGCGGATTCCATTTCTGAAACTCTTTCAGGGAAATCTTGCCGTCACCGTTCCGCTCCAACCTTGACAGTAAAGAGAGCAGTGCAAGGTTCTGTCAGCTCGTTCCGTGTAATTTAGGGTTTATGATTTATGCGGTTTTAGGTAGTGTCAAACGAAATCAAGATGTACATGCGGCCTCGCAAACGGGGGCAGGTGCTGCAGTCTACCAATTTGACTCACTGCAGCTATGGGAGCCCTGGACAAAATTGGTAGTATATCTCTTAATAGGTCCCCCCCAAAACCCTATATAGTCCCCTATAGGTCCCCCGGAACCTAAATTTAGTCCGTAGCTCATGGGACGTAGCGAACTCATCTACGGGCTTCCAGCGCTTCAGCTCATCAGCGCTGATTCGCCCATCACCATTCACGTCCAGTCGGCCTTAGCCGCAAGCCCCAGCTCCACGGATTCCGGGGGGGTGATAGGGTTTGGGGTTTAGGGGTTGTAGGGAATGGGAAAACACCGTTTAGGGCTTCGGGTTTGGGCATATTACGCCAACAATCAAGAATCAAACGGAAAGAACATGGAAAATGAAATGGAAGCTGGGATTATGTAAGCGTTTACAAAGTAAGGCTTTCCAAACATTAGGGCCTAACTATGGCAACTACCACATGGCTTCGCTCGCTTTGATTTGTCTGACAGCAGCCAGAACAGGATTGAGCATTTGGAGGTTCGCGGGACTTGTTTACTACTTAGAACTGGGCTTGTAGCCCTACTTAGGTCCCCTTATGTTAGCCCATTTATCAATAGGGCTATCACTCAGTTATAAACAGTTAATTGCTACATCACATGAACGCTCAAGCATACCCCCTTCTTAAATCATGACGGAGATGCGTCCGTGTTTCATGCTCGCTTGAAAGCATTTGGGACTTTGATCGACGGAAGTCAATTTAAGGAGACGCATTGAACCGGAACCACTAGGAGTAGTTC